ATGTTGTCCATTTGGAAGACTTTCATTGGAAGAACACTATTCGTTAGTGGAAATTATAGAATATATGAAGAATATCTTGGATGACCTTAGTATCCATATATTTGGATGAACGGTTTTTGGAATCTATATTCTAGAAAAATGACTTTTTTTTAAATAAGTAGGGAATTTTATGGAAACTATTATTTATCTCTTATTCCCTAGATCGAATAGTATATACAAAAGGGCATCAATTTATAATAACCATCAAGCAAATTTTTCAAGTCTTGAACTATAAAATCATACTTAAGAAATTCTATTGTGTCATTCTTAAATCCAATATTCTCTTAGCGATCTAGAGTTAAAAAGTCTTAATTGAGCTTGTCAAGTGCCACACGTTTTGCTTAAGAAGTCTAACTCTATGACACTAGGCTATTTAAAATTTGCTAAGTTAAATTCATTCTTTTTTGTAAGGGTTAATTTGGTTCTCGGAGATATACTACAACAGTAGTATCCAGACAACGTGTCAGATAAGAATGTGTAGTGAAAAAAAAGGTGGGTATCTTACTAAAATATGGCCAACCCCCGTAAAACAAGTTACAAGAAAATTTCTTAACTTAACTCTATTTATTAACTATAATACAATATTCTTAAATGTAACTCTAATTTGTCATTCAAACTCATTGGAGATGTTGACCTTTAGTATTGAGGGGGGAAATGAATTGTTTTAAACTTTTTTATGCATCAACTAATATGAGAACATTTTCCTAAAACTACACACCTAAATCTTAAATAATTTTTTTTAAAAAAATAAAATCTTTTATAATATATTTGAAATCTATCAAATATGAGAATGCATTATGCTAAAGCAAAAGCAAGAGATATTTATTTAAGCATTAGTCTACATAAGTACAAGGTATACAATTCAACCTTCCCTAATAACAAGTAGCATTGTTGCATATGCATAACACAGGGCACTTAAACCATAATCCCTCCCTTCTTACGTTTGTAAGCTTACTTAACTTTGATTACAAACCTCTTCATTTTTTGAGTCATGTGTCTTAAGAGTACATTTTTATAGGTAAGATCTTGCAAAACTTGATTATGCTCATTTATACTATATCGCTGGCACATAGAGTGGAAGAACAATGCTTGTGCCACATTCAAGTGCATAGTGTCAGCTATTCTACCTTCACATTGACCATTCAGCATTCAATGTTTACTCGGCTTTAACCAATCATCTTATTTTGGGCTAAATGAACTGAATGGTTGTATTATTCTTCATTGGTTGTTCTATATAGCATATAATGAGAGTTTTGCGAACCATTCCCAAGTTATATAATTTGAGTTTAAGAATATTTGCACCCACTAAAGGATATATGTGGATTAGTGAATTCTAAAACTTCTGTTGAAATAGCAAAAGGTGGTTCTTCATGTTCCGTCATTTCGTCCACAACAAGGCTTGCAGCTTCTGTAACTGATCATGAAATACAAGGAAGTTGCAAGCCTAGTTGTGGAAGAGAAGATGGAACCTGACGAACCATCTTATGTTCTTGCAATATAAATTCAACAAACAAATAATTCATAGATATCCTTTGGTGGGTGCAAGTATTCATACACTCAAATTATATTAACTGAAGCCAAGGCAACATGAAATGAATGAATTATCAAGGTAGCATAGTGGACACTCTCCTCCTTGCACATGGGAAAGTATTCTCAATATTGGTCCACTCTGTAATGCAATCAATATGGATTAAATGACGACAATTAATGTTTTCATTTCTTCACCATCAAAATACTCATCCTAAGAAACACAGATCTTAATAAAGTAGGCCTAAATCAAATTTAATTAAGTAAGTTTTCAAATGTTAGGAGAGAAAGAATTATGAAACTTAGGTGCCACTTACTAAACATATGGAACAGTGCTCCTTGTTGTCAAAACATATTGAATTGTCTACCTGATATATAGTAATGTAAATAAAGACCTCTTTCTTCGAATAGAGCATAAGCAATTCCTATACTTATAATAGATTTCAAATAAGGTCTAAAAGATTGCAGAAAAGCATTATGTGGATATCATCCATTCAAGGAAGATTCAAGTATGTTTTATCAAATAGTACAAAATAATATGTTGTATCAACGAGAATTTTTGGTCCTATAAAAAGCGGAACTAACTTATAGATTATCAGATCCAATGGTTGATGAAGAAACCTTACCCCTAGATCAAGAACCAGGTTCTTGATTATTAACCTAAGAAAAGAGTTAATTTAAACAATTACTCTAACTAAAACCTTTCTATCTCAAGCAACGGAAAACTCAACTATGTTTTATCAAATTTTTTACTCAATTATAATTTTCGATTAACTCTAATCAAATTTTTCAACTTCACAAGAAGCCAAACCCACTTCTTGCAAAGTTACTCACAAATCTCCTCTCTTCACAAGAAGCCAAACCAACTTCTTGTTTACACCCACAAAGGCTCGCACTCGTACAAAGAAACTCACAGAACTCACAAGCTAATAAAAACACACATAACTCACATATACGTTCTTTTCTTTCTCTCTCTCTTTTTCTCGCCTCACTTTCTTCGATTGCAAAGAACTGACTTTCTTTGTCTTGCAATCTCTGTTTATATATAATTTTGATGATCAATAATTATTTCCTCTCTGTCAAGTTTATAACGATTCTGATTTCTTTATCCTTCTTTGATATGGAAAGATTTGCTTTTATTTGTTATACCAAATACACAACCTTTTCAGAAAAGGTTTTGTCTTCGTATAAAGTAGACAACCTTTTAAGAAAGGGTTTTTTCTTATTTATTTATGGAAATATACAATTTTTATATTCATTTTTTCCATAAATAAATATGTGCTATTTCTCCTTCGCCTCTTTTTCAATAAATGAACCTGGTCTATAAGTGAGACAACATCTGATATTCATAAGTAAGATGATATCTAGTTTAATAAATGAACCTGGTTCATAAGTGAGACGACATCGAAATTATTTGTCATTATCAAAAGTAATTAACACAACTTCCATCAAATTCCCCTTTTTTTTATGATGACAAATAATACCCATACTACAAGTTTTGAGAAACTGATTCCCCATTTTGACATATCAAAAAGCCCAACATGGAGTCAAAACGTATACACAACATTAAAATAGAAAGATACTAATATAAGATATAAACAAGAGCTATAGCATTAATAAAACCAAGAGCCGTTAAAAATGTCTGGAAAAAAAATGATGTATCTAATCAACACGAGCATTCTTATCAATTTGTTGTTGAATAAGTTGATCTTTTAATCTTCCAACTTCCCCTTGAAAAGCAGCTAACTTAGCCTGAAAAATAGTAACTTCAACTTTTAGTAACACATTTTGCGCTCGTGCCTCATTAAGCACAGAAATAAGAGCAGTTACTAGACCAGCAGAGCGAAGAGGAACTTGATCCGCAGCATCATCCAAGAGAAAGCATTCAGCAAGAGTAGTTTGAGTAAACATATCATACTTGCTCAAAGATCAGCCATCCTTCAGAGGTACCCCAAATTCTTTAAACACGGTAGTCAACAAATTCCCATAAGCTAATTTATGAGGTTTCTTAGGATCCACTATTCTTACCATATGTTTAATTATAAGAGAAGGACAATTAATAGGATGCATGGTATCCAAAGCATGACCAAGACCCATATCTCAAAAATTAGCTTCATGTCTCCTTTCTCCTCTTGGGATAATACCTTTGTGAACTACTTCAAACACCAATTTGTGGAATAGAGACATTTTTCCTTTCAATATCTTTCGCGGTCGATCACTGAACCTCCCTTGTGTGAATTTTGAAGTTAATGCACAATTATCATCTTTACCCCAATGATATTCCTCCAAACCTATGCAAGGAATACAAAGTATTGCCCCTAACCTAGCTTTGTCAAAAACTATGTCTATAACATGAAAGGACGAAGAAAGTACTGACTCATCAATCATTGTCAAATTTGCATAAAACTCAACCACTTCTATGTCAAATATCATGTTATCAGAGTGAAGAAAAATGTCTACCTACTCCTGTACTGCAAGTAATGCTAACAATTTTTTTATCACAGTATGATCCCTGATTTATGGATGTATTGTTCGACCTCTCAAGATTTTTTGTGATTTAAAATAAGCCTCCCTTCCCATGGCAAGAAATTTAATTTCTTTTTTTGTTAGGGTTTTAGACGAGGGAGGACTTGAAGTGCGTACATCTTCTAAAATTTCTTCATTAGAATCAGAAATAACATGGATGGAAGAAGAACAAATGGGTGACTTACCAATATGATGAAGTTTCTTGGTTGATTGTACCAACACCTCTAGATGGTATTGACTTGCTTGTCGATTTCAAGGAGTGTAAATCACATTCGTTTGACAGCAATATGCTTGCGAGGACGCCGAGGAACTGGTGTAGACTAAGGGATTTTATGTGTTTGAGGAGCGTTAGAGGAGGGCACAGTTCCCGGAGGAGATGAAATAGGGATAGGGAATTAAGTGTTTTCTAAGAGAGTGGAGGAAAAAGATTGTGGGGAAGAAAATTAGGGAGGGGGGGTCGGCTGATGGTGATAGTGGTGGATTAGGTTCTCCCTGAGTAGTTGCCGGAGTTTCGGTAGGTTCATCATCAGAGTAATCAACGAGAAGAAGAGAGGAAGCCATTTTTTTGAGTGTGCGGAAAATAAAATTTTTTTATGGGGAATAGAAGAGTAATGATTATGAACTGGTACATTGAACAAGCCTGAAAAGAATTTGAAGCGACGGTATTCACATCAAAGAGACGTTGGAGTTTTAATGCGACTCTATGTATTTCCCGCCCAAACAAAAAATTAAATAGTAGAACCAGGTTGAAAATATAAGAACATGAGTCTGTGGTGAGTAGAACTTGGTTCTTTTAGTTCTGAAACGCGAGTCCCAAAGATAGACGATTTTTAAGAAATGGTTCTCGCCCAAGAGCCTTAGAAAAAATGTCAGCAATTTGGTCCTGTGTAGCTCAGAATTTCATTATGTTAAATCCTTTTTTCAACATTGTCTCTCAGAAAGTTTTGTAGAATGTTAATATGTTTAGTGTGCTTGCGATGGACCGAGTTCTTTGCCATATTGATAGCACTAGTGTTATCACACATAATGGGAATATAACCCGTCTTAATCCCAAAGTCTTCTAATTGTTGCTTTATCCATAATAATTGGGCACAACAAGATGCAGCTGCTACATATTCTCCCTCTGCTGTTGAGAGGGCAACGAAATTTTGTTTTCTAGTGGCCCATGAGACAAGAAATGGTCCTAGATACTTTGACATTCCAAATGTACTTTTTTGCTCAACTAAGAATCTGGCGTAGTCAGCATCAGCACGTCCAATTAAACCAATTGAGTCTCCTTCTTGGTACCATTGCACTAGGTTCACAGAACCTTTGAGGTACCTAAGTATTCTCTTTCTTGCTTTTAGATGAGACTCATAAGGACATGACTGAAATCGTGCACAAAGTCTAACACTAAACATAATGTCTGGTCTTCTTGATGTTTGGTATAATAGTCATCCAATCATACCTCTATATTTTGTATCATTAACTAGAGAACTTATTTCATCTTTATTTAAATTTGGGATAGTGCAAATGGGAGTGTCGATTATCTTGGCTTCATTCATGTCAAATTTTTTCAGTAGTTCATTAATGTATGTCTGTTGATTAATGGAAGTACCTGTAGGAGACTGATCAATTTGAAGACCTAGGAGGAAAGTTATTTCACCCATCATACTCATCTCAAACTCACTACTCATGAGTTTGGCAAACTCAATTCCAATTGAGGGGTCAGTTCCACTAAATATGATGTCATCGAAAAAAGTTTGTACAATGAGCATATATGAACCTTACTTTTTAAAAAAGAGTGTATTGTCTATTTTTCCACGGGAGTAACCATGTGTTATAAGAAATGTGGATAAACAATCATACCATGCTGTTGGAGCTTGCTTTAGTCCGTACAGTGCTTTTTCTAGCTTGTAGACATGTTCAGGTTTATCTGGGTCCTCAAAACCAGGGGGTTATTTCATAAAAACATCTTCTTGTAGAAAACCATTCAAAAACACACTTTTTACATCCATATGATAGAGTTTGAATTCCATATGGGCTGCAAAAGCAATTAACATTCTTATAGCTTCCATTCTTGCCACTGGTTCAAAGGTTTCATCATAATTGATTCCCTCTTCTTGGTTGTAACCTTGAACCACTAGTCGAGCTTTGTACCTAGTGATCTAAGCTGGGTCATCTAGTTTATTTCTTATGACCCATCGAGTACCTATGATAGTTCGATCATGTGGTCTGGGAACCAGGTTCCAGACTTTGCTTCTTTCAAACGGACTTAATTTCTCTTGCATAGTAATAAATCACTTTGGATCTCCTAAGGCTTCTTTTATATTTTTGGGAACAACTAGAGATAGATACGCTAAGAAGGCACACATATTTTGTACTCTAGATCTGGTATGAATCCCTGATTCCAAAGGTGTGAGGATGTTTTGAATGGGATGAGAACTTTTATGTTTCCAACCATGAACCTGAGATATTTGAGTTGATTCAGATATTGGAGTATCTGATGTTTTTGTTTCTGTCTCTTTTGGTATATTCTCAATTTCTTGAAGATCGGCCTATTTGTGGTATTATTCTCATCTGATTGTAAATCTTTTGATGGTTTTGGAGGATGTTCTTCAGGATTATCCGATTCTTCAACTGTGCTTTCATAAAAAAGAACATGCATGCTTTCTTCCACTCGATTTGTTCCTTTGTTGAGTACTTTATATGCTTTTCGTTGTGTTGAATATTCCAAGAATATTCCTTCATCACTCTTGGCATCAAATTTTCCCAAATTATCATTTCCATTATTGTCCACGTAACATATGCATCCAAATGGTCGAAGATGTGCTTAGATCAACTTTCTTCCTTTAAGTAGTTCATATGGGGTTTCATTTAAAAAATTCCTTATCTTGCACCTGTTTATCAGATAACAAGCAGTGTTTATGGCCTTTGCCCAATAGAATTGTTGTAGTTTGCTTGCTATTAGCATAGGTCTAGCGATGTCTTCAAGAGTTCTGTTCTTACGTTCAACTACACAATTTTGTTGCGGAGTTCTTTATGCAGAAAAATTATGGTCAATTCCATTTGTACTGCAAAAACAAAAGAATTTTGATTTTTCAAATTCTGAACCATGATCTTATCTTATGTTAATGACTTCTGTTATTGAGTTTCTTCTGAACTAGTCTCACAACTATGTCAAATAGTTCATAAGTTTCATACTTTGTTGCCAATAACAGAGTCTAAGTAAACCTTGAGTAGTCATCAACTATTACAAGAATGTATCTTTTGCCTCTTCTACTTATCACATGCATTGGTTCACATAAGTCTATGTGAAGCATCTCTAAAGGTTTTGTGGTACTAACCATTCCCTTTGGTTTAAAAAATGATTTTTATTGTTTCCCTTTGACACATGCGCCACAAACCTGTTCACTATGCAGAATTTTCCCGGGCAATCCTCTAACTAGATCTTTTGGTATTAGTTTATTAATTGTAGAGAGGCTAATATGTCCTAGATTTTTGTGCCAACGCGCAGAGCTTTCAGTGAGAGCACTGAGGCAAGTAAGTGAATTTTCTGACCTTATTATTTGAGTTGTGTATACATTCTTGTGTCTCTTTCCCTGAAGTACCAGTTCCTCAGTTGTTCAATTTATCACTCTACATTCAACTGCAGTGACTACCTTGTTCCCTTTGTTTCACATTTGAGATATGCTTAGTAATTTATGTTGAAGTCCATTTACGTAGTATACATCATTGGTGGATTGTTGGAGATTGATTCCTACCTTTCCAATTCCTTGTATTTCCCTAGTGCTTTAATTTTTCTCTCACTAAAGCCTGCAGTTTTATCATAACCGAGTTAGTTTTGGTACCCAGATCCACTTAAGTGCCTGTTTGTGATTAAAGGGATATATGAGAATTTTTTTAGCCCATCTAGGAAGAACTTTAGACGTAGAAACAGGTTCAGGATCAGTTTTCTTCTGACTTTTTCTTAGAAAGGAAATTATTTTCTAATGAGCAATTTTTTTATTGTCACATGCATGACTCTTATGTCCTGTCAAGCCACAGTGAGAGCATAGACAATCTATCTTAGGATTTTTTGTTTCCGAAAAACCTATTCCATGTATTGAGCTGGATTGACTTTTATGGAGACTATCGAGAACTATGGAGGACCTATTCCACCTCATACCGTTCTCTACTTCCTGTTCAATCGTGTTCAATTTCTTTTGTAAGGCTTGATTTTTCAAGAAGCTAGAGTTTAAATCTTTTTCTAATAATACTTGTTTATTAAGAAGGGAACAATTTTGTTGTTCAAGAGTCATGTTCTCTTTTCTTAGAGATGCGTAATCTTGCATTAGTAGTTCTTTTTCATGGAATGTTGTCTCATATGCCATAATTATAGTTTCCAAAAGTGACTTTAGCTCTCTTTTAGAATAGATTTCCCTGTTTTTCATAGAGAAAGATGAGCTAACCTGACTGTTTTGGTCTTCTTCTTCTTGCTCTGAATATTAACCATCCATCAAAGCATGAATTGTATCTTGTGCTTGAAAAGTACCTTCTTTGTTTGCTTCTTCAGTTACCGCCACTAATACGAAAAAGTAGTATTTATCTTCTTGTTTTATTGCAAGTAGAGATTGATTCTTGATTTCTTCATTCTCAGATTCCTCTTCAGATATGCCTCCTATTGCAGCGAGTACCTTTTTCATGGATATGTCGGCCTCTTGATTTGTCCTTCTCAGGTTATTGGGAATATATCTATCTTCTTTTGCCTTTTCTGGGTTGTTTTTCTTGTATTCTAACGCCCATAGTGGACAGAATTTTATAAAGTGGTCTGGACTACCACATTTATGACATAGTTGTTCTCTATAGTTTTCAACATTATTTTGTGGAGTCCTTTTCTTTAAATGTTTGTCCCCTTTTTAACTGTTCGGATAACCTTTTGTCCATGAGTGCAATGTTTTCATTCTCAAAATCTTTAGAAGTAGTAGTTTTTAAAGACAAATTCTTTTCTTTCCTTTTACTACCAATCTCTTTTTCTTGATTTATCTTCAGCTCGTATAATATGAGGTTTCCAATGATCTTTTCCATAGCAATCTTATCTAAGTCACGTGCTTCAGTAATTGCTTCAACTTTACTTTCCCATGATTCAGGTAAGAAGCTCAAGTGTTTTATGACTGCCTTTCCGTTTGGAATTACTTCACCTAGAGAGTAAATCTCATTGATGATAGTAGTGAATCTAGTGTGCATATCTTGAATTGTTTAGCCTTCCATTATTTTGAAATTTCGTATTGTCTATTCAAGTTGTCGTGTTCCTTCATGTGTAGTCTGCAAAGTTTCCCAGATTGACTTAGCATCTTGGAAAGAAGAGATCCTGTTGTATTTGTCTTGTCCTATGCCATAAATTAGAATTTTCTTAGATTTTGCATCATTTTTAATTGCCAGTTTATCTGTGGCATCCCACTCCTTTCTCTTTGTTGGTACCATTGTTTCTCCATCACGCCCCTTTTTCATAGGAATAGTAGGACCATCTACGAGTACACTCCAGAGATCCAGATTTTCTCCTGTTATATGGTCCATCATGCGATTCTTCCACCATCCATAATATTTTCCATCGAACAGTGGTGGTCGAGTTTAAGAAGCTCCTTCGTGGGGGTAGGTGGTGTTGCCATTTTCTTTTCAAGATGTTAATCTTTTAGTGAAAAGATCTTGCTCTGATACCAATCGAAGAAACCTTACTCACAAAACCTTCCTATCTCCAGGAAGGAAAAACTCATCTATGTTTTATTAATTTTTCTTACTCAATTATAATTTTCGATTAACTCTAATCGAATTCTTCAAATTCACAAGAAGCCAAACCCACTTCTTGCAAACTTACTCACAAATCTCCTCTCTCCACAAGAAACCAAACCCACTTCTTGTTTACACGACACAAGCTCGCACTTATACGAAGAAACTCACAAAACTCACAAGCTAATAAAAACACACAGAGCTCATAGATACGCTCTTTGCTGTCTCTCTCTCTTCTTCTCGCCTCACTTTTCTTCGATTGCAAAGAACTGACTTTCTTTGTCTTGAAATCTTTGTTCATATAGAGTTTTGATGATCAAGTATTATTTCATGTCTTTGAACATGATAATGATTCTTATTTTTGTATCCTTCTTTGATATGGAAAGATTTTCTTTTATTTGTTATACCAAATACGCAACCTTTTCAAAAAGGTTTGTCTTCGTATAAAGTAGACAACCTTTTAAGAAAATGTTTTGTCTTATTTATTTATGGAAATATACAATATTTATATTCATTTTTCAATAAATAAATAGGTGCCTCAATATTTATCCTTCGCCTCTTTTTCAATAAATGAATCTTGTTCATGAGTGAGCCAACATATGATATTCATAAGTGAGATGATATCTAGTTTAATAAATGAACCTGGTGCATAAGTGAGATGACATCAAAAGTATTTGCCATTATCAAAAGTAATTAACACAACTTCCCTCAGTTGATATGCACTTTTTTAATTTCTGATTTCAATTGCTTTATGAAAATCCCAGAAGTCAAATTTCAGTCCAGTTAGTTAGTAAATAATTGATTTAAATGATTGTTTATAGGTAAATGACAAGTACGATAGTGGTAGGAACTAGAATAAATATTTCAGTAGCATAAATAATTTTTGCATTTGTTTCTACCAACCTATTTATTCTAATTTATACCTCTTTTCTACTTATCATTTATGCAAAAACAGTCAGTCAAAATAATCAATTATTAACTAATTGAATGAAACTTGACTTCTGAGACTTTAAGAATGTCGTCAAGCCGAAAATAAGAAAAAGGCTATATCATCGATTGGAGGTAATGAGAATGTTAACTGCAACAGTTTATTATTTCAGTTTATTGAATTTGTTTTTTAAAAATAAGTCAGTGAAATGAAATCATTAATTCTATAGAACTTATAGTTATCTGCATGCAAAAGAAAAAAATTGTATCAATATACACTTATGTTGAAAAGTGAGAAAAACATGTTTGTAAAAATAGTTAGGTTAATATGATGAATGCCTATTGTTGAATCATCTAAATATGTGCATAGTTTTGACGTGTGACTAATGTAAGATCCACGTTTATAAAGACAATGATGCTAGACTTGCAAAACTCGTGTCTACTTGATAGTATACTTGTATAAGTGAGTTATAGATCATATGAGTTAGAAATGGAGTTACCTTACCTGGAGAAGTACCTAGTACTTGGTGGAATTAGTCGAAAATCACCAGAAGAAAATATAATCATTTAAATAACACGAACATAGTGAAAAAACTTACAACTCTTATAGTAGATGATGACATTCTAATACAAATGGTCCATAGAGCACATCTATGGAAATATGGTGTAACGACCTGTTTAGTCGTTTTGAGCAGCAGATTTCATTTCTGGAAAAACAGGTTGAGACGACGGAACCCACGACGGAACCTCATGGGCACGACGGACCGTCGAGGGTGTCTCGTCCCAAAACACATAGAAATTCTGAAATTTGGGTGCTGAAATCGACTCTGTGAACTCTGTGACGGACCTGCAGGACGGACCGTCACAGGCACGATGAACCGTCATGATCCACCGTTTCAAAACACTTCAACTCTTGAGAATTTGGTACAAGGAACGATTCTCTGAACTTCATGACGGAAGTGCAGGACGGACTGTCGTAGGTACGACGGGCCGTCAAAGACTCCGTAAGGAAATCGAGTCTCTGACGAACCTGCATGAAGGACCGTTGCAGGCGCGACGGGCCGTCACAGGTTGCGTAATCCCAGATGAAGTCGGAATTCTGGTTAAGTTTTAAAGGGGCGTTTTGGACTATTCCTGCTATAATTATATATTTCGTGGGTCTATATTAATAACTCAATTTCTTAGGGGATAAAAGAGGTAACCTTAAGTTAATTAGTGGGCTATTATTGTCATCTTTTATTCGTAATTATATACTAATTAGGGTAAAAGAAAGAGGGTTTGAATTAAGAAAATAGAAAGAACAAGAGAAAGAGAGAGAAGGGAATCGATAGAGAGAGAGACGATCGAGAAGGGGAAAAACACAAAGCTTTAGGAAAATTTGCTTGTTTGATTATGAATCTTCGGTGGAGGTAGGTTGTGGTTTCTCTTACGATATTCGTAGTAAACTCTTAATAGAGAATGATATGTATTGATAATATTGTAAACCCTGCTATGTGCTTAATTGTATGCTTGCATGAATGTAATTATATAATTGTGATTATATAAGCATGATGAAGTTATTGAATCG